TGTGTAGATTCACTCATCCATAATATAAAATAACATAATCTTTTAGATATTTTAGATTGTTAAAAAAATTATTTTTGAGATTTACTTATCCGAGTTTTTTTATTCAACAATTTAAAATATATTGTCAAATTATCAATTTCGTGAATCATAAAAATAACATCGTCTTTTTATACTAATATATAATAAAATAAAAAATTATGAAAATAGGAGAATCAACAGTTTTATTTTTTATTTTTATTTTGTGGAACATTATAATTGGCCCAACTTTTGAACGGTCCAAAAGGAGTGGACATTTTGGACATTGGCATTTTAAGGAAAAATGACCTTTTAAAATTTTTACATTTCTGAAATATATTAAAAAAAATTCATATTTTACCTAGAAGCATTTAAGAAAAATATATTTAAAAATAAAATCTAAAATACATCATTTAAATTTGGTTTTTAATTAATTTAAATTCACCATCACATAATAAAGTTTATTATCATGAGATAAGACTTTCCAAATAATTTAAAATTTTATTCCAGAATATAATTTCCAAAAATATAAAAATGAAAACATTTTGGAAAAAAAAAATAAAAAAAATTCTTAGCTTTCCGGAAAACTTCATGTGTACCTGCATCTTTTTTTCAATTCTCAAATTAACTCATTCGGAAACATCTTGTTAGTTTGTTTAATCCAGAAAACTTATTTTCAATTCTCTCTTAATTCCTCATCTATTTTTGGATGATACCTATTTTTCATTTTCCAAAATTTGTTCTTTCTCTGAATAGCACTAATCGATGTTATAAATTATTATGATCAAATAGTTTTTTTTGGAAAAAAATTAGGTCAATTATATGCTATGGAAAGGGATTGGAGATTCCCCAACGTGAAGCAACTTGAAAGGTTGTGTAAGTAAAAAACTATTCTTGATAAAGCTTTTAAAAAGACAACAAGAAAAAAAAAATGATACTTATTAAGAAACATTCTAAAATAGATTTTAAACTGTCTTCAAAAGCTCATTTCATCAAAATATTTTCTTTTGTTTTCAAAATATATTCTCAAGTACGCATTCTATATAATTTTAAAAAATAATTATAGAATATATTTTTCAAGATGCTTATGGACGTGTAATTCAATTTTTTTAAATATATTTCAAATAACACAATAATATTTTACATATAAATTTGAATGCCCAATCATTTCTTTTAGATAATACCATTTTTTTCGGATTGTTCCAATCAAATTCATGTATAAAAGCTAAGTTTTGTTTGTGTTTATTTTTCTAAAAAAAAAAGTGTATTTAATAAATAACTAGATTTTTAAAATTTATATGTATTTATTTATTTATTTATTTTAAAATCAAGAGTTTCTTTTATTAATTTTTATAAATAAATTTTATTTAATTTTAAATAAATAATTATTTTATATCATTTTATTTATAAATAATTGTTTTATGTTTACGTATATTGCAGTTTTAAATATTTTAAACATTAACAGTAGATCTCTATATATTCCTTCCTTGCTTATTAAGTAAGTGTATGTGAAACTGTATCTTTGGATAAAAGGGTGAATTCGATATATAGGAAAAAAGAAGAAGAGAGGAAAAAGTGAAATTTTTTTGGAAAAATAATAATTAATAAGATAAATTTTAATTTATTAAAAAAAGTAAATAATAAGATACATTAATCAAATAATTTAAATTTAATAAAAATAAATAAAAAATAAATTTAAGATGTGATTTAATATAAATAAATTATTTAATAAATAGATAAAAATAAATAAATTAAAATTATTTTATATATAAATTGAAAATAAACTTTTAATATTTTTTACACATATTTATATTATACAATTTATTTTTATAATAGTTTATAAATAATATTTCATTGTAAACATTGTTTAAAAAATTAAGATGTGATTTTTTATATAATTTTATATAATAGATTAAAATAATATTTCAACTAAAAATGTATTAACGAATTTATGATAAAATAAAATCAAAATTATTAAACATATCAGTTTTTTTATTTTTAAAAAATTTATTATTTTGTATTAAATCATAAACTATTAATATATCTTTAATTAAAATTCAATGAAAATAGTCTAATTAAATTAAAATATATGTAAATATAAAATAATTATTTTATAAAATTATTTTAATAATATTAAAAATTTATTTAAAAATGTTTAGATTTTTTTAAAATAACTAATTGAGACTGTGTACATATTCTTATTTCACATAACTCAAAATCATATTTAAGTTTAATAATTTATTACAAGATTAATTATTATTAAAATTAATAAATTTTTATATTAATAATATAATTTTAAGAAAATAGTGATATTTTATTGGACTTTATCCTAAAAAATAAAACTTTGTACATTATATTATTTATTTATTTTTAATGTGTAGTTGTGAATATTGTAAAATATACAATAATAAAAATAATTAATTATGATTATAAAAATATTTACATAATTAATTCTTTTAAAATAATAATTTTTAATAAAAATATATTTAATTGATCAAGAAGAAAAAAATTAGAATTTAATTGTAAGAAAATAAACTCTTAAAATAAATTATATTATACGTAGACCCGTAATTGATATGGCTCAAGATATTATAGATTATGTGTAAATGTAGTTCGTAATCAATTATGAATATGTAGTACAAAATGCTAGTTGTCTTTTTCAATTAATTCATCTCATGTTAGGAAGTTTGTGAAATGTATGAGACTCACTATTCTTCTTACCGAATCCACTCAAACAAAGGATCAGTGCATATTCATACTCTTACTTCTTTCTTCTTTTTTTACACAATAAATCAACATATACAAACAAAGGTTTACGCCTTTTAAGATACGAGGAAATCAAAATACCAAAATGTTACAATTTACTTTTAAAATTACATATATAAATAGATTTTTAAAAAATTACCCTATGTCACAAAGAAAAGAAAAAAAAACTTTCAAACACGATTTTGGATTTTTAATCATAATATTGACCTTTTAGAATCATTTAGTTAGCCTTTTTTTTTTAAATTGAAGTTGTGCTTTAATAATAACAAATAATTAAATTAATATTGATAATAATAATAATAGTTATTATTAGTTTTATTGTTATAATAATTTATTATTTATCATTATTACTTTTTAATAATAATATAACAATAATAATTGGTATTATTTAAAATACTATATAATATTATAAAAATATAGAAATATTTAAAAAGTAAAAATAAAAAATTGAATTAGTGCATAAAAACATAATTTCACGAAAAGACAGAAAATAATTTAACTAAGTCGTGTTTATATGTATGACTTTCAGTTTTATAGCTGAAAAAATGACTTTTTTTTTTAAGGTGTGCTATCAAGTTAGACTTATGGTTTTCATAATTTAAAAAAAAATACTCATCCGTATTTCTAAAAACAAATTATACCATTTTCATGCTTTTACCAAAATATGGGGACACATGGGTCCATATAAAGTGATAAGGGACAAGGCACCAAGGAACCAATATTCCCAACGATGATCTCATAATCTTTGGTTTTACCTATTACCTCATCAAATCTATCAACCAAATCTCATGTACCATAATAAACACACCCAGTTTGCTATGACAAAAAGAGTCATTAAAAAGGAGACAAAAATATCGATCCGTTAAAATTTTTATTTTTATTGATAATGAATTGAGTATAAATAATTTATTAATATATTTTAATATCTTAAAAAAATTGACTCACCTAATTTATCTATTAATAATTTTTCATGGATAGAGATATTCAATCCATTTACTAAAATAATATTATCATATATATATATATATATATATATAATATGAAAACTAATAAAAATAATTTTAATTAAAAATGACATAAACTTAAAATTTATTTTCAAGATATCCATGAAATAAATTTTAAGAAGTGATTATATTTAATGATGCGTACTAATCATAATGTAATAAGTAATTTCTCACCAATAAAAGTGACTTATATTATTAATTCTTAATTTCCATAAAAAATGTCAGTCAATATAGAGAAGTAATTTTCATGATAAACGAGGTGATGTGCATTCGTAGAAAAATAATGGTAAAAAAAGAAATTAATTTTACTTAAAAAAAATTAACCATGAATTTGTTTAAAAGTAGTTTGATGTTTCTTGTATAAAATAAGTAGCATGTTTTTTTTCTTACAGGATCGAGATAGTATGTTTAAAACAAAAACAATTTCAAATATATATTTTTTAACCAATTTTTTAAAATGTGCCTTTTGAAATTTGGAAAAAAAAATGTAAAGAATTTGATTATGAAAAAATGATTTGGGTCAATTTTGGTCCATTATTGATCAAATGATTGATTGAACTTAGAAAGAATAGTAGATGAATCACATGCATAACAATAAATGGATAAATTTAATAAAACTATTAAATAAATAATGAACAACTTTATTATTTTATCAACTTACATAGAAGAGAGAGCTGTTTATTATACTGCATAAATAGAAGGCCAATGCATAAAAACCTCATCAAAAACTTATTTTCTAGCTATATGAGCAAAACTCAATCGAATAATAATATTCTTCAACTCAATATAATAAGGGGAAGTATATTTTTATTTCTTTACAAATCTAAACCTCCTCACTGCAAGTGAAGAATGGAGCTACCAAAGGAAATCCTCTTCACTAAGCATATAAACGGTTCTTATCCGGTCTAGAATCGTATATGTATGAAGTTCATCAATGGAATATTGACAACACAATCTTAACATAGAATTAAACTCAGGAATCATTCGAAACCTACTGATTCACGCATTTAATGGAGCCACGTGAATTTGTATGGTAGAAAAAGTATAAAAAAGTGCATGCATGTCACTATATCGTTTCGAAGTTCATTATTCTTCCCTAGTATAACGAAGGCCATCAAAGAGGCACAGATTCAGAATATATTTCTATCGTATGTTATCAACCAAAAACTCTTAATCACTCAGGATCTTCCACTTTATGAAAAAGAAAATGTTTCTTCAATTAGGCGAACTCGCAGGTGGCAAGTAAGTTTCGTCCTCACCACCGGACAGATTTTGAGGATTATTTGCAGGAATCGGTGATGACGCAGCAACTGCCAGTATGGTAAGATCAATTCGAGGGTTATTAGTCAGTGGTGTATGAATCTGCCGAATCCCCGTAATCCTACCGTCTTTAATCTCCACATCCACTGTTTATTTTCAAAAGATTTCGTATCGACAAATCGAAAATACAATTCGTCAATTCCTAATTAACGAACGTTTCTCAAATAGGAATGCTGTGTTGTAAACTTCACGTAAGATCGCAATTCTGAATCTATATTGCTAAGCATAAGATAAGCTTAAGTGATTAACGGAAAACTGAAGTTACTTTGGCTAAAACGGTGACGTACCTGGATAAGAGAACCACCAGAGAGTGAAGACGCAGAGCAGCACGATCACGGGGATTGAGTGTATGCATTTCTCCGTTGACGTCGGGCGTGAACGGGAAGTTTCCCTTCTTCCGGTGACGCTCCTATGGTAAATCGGTAGCCCGTCAATGTAGTCTTCGTCAAAGATTCTTCTCCGCTTTGTGTGTTGCTGCTGGTCTGCGCCGACGTTGATGGCTCTCTGTTCATCGCCAGAGCCGCGCAAGCTTGAGCTTGAAGATCTCTGCTGCATTTCGATTAAGAGAGAAGAAGAAGAAGAAGAAGAAGAAGAAGAAGAAGAAATGGAGTTAGAATGAGATTTCCGAAGGAAACTCTGCAAAGTAGTTTGGAGATGGAAGCCCCCGATATGTGTCTTGGTTTGGTTCGTTAGGCTCTTAACAAAATTTGGGCGGGAAAGTGTTTGCACGTGTCACGCGCATGTTTTGTGACTCTTGAGGAATTACATGTTATCATTCTTATCCAATGTAGTTCGTTTCAATTTTCTATTTGTAGCAACGCACTTGGTTATTGGGATCGTTAAAACAAATCTATAATAATAATAATAATAATAATAAAATTCAAAATGAAACATGCTATCAGGACTGTAAAATAGGAGACCAACCCATTTTGAATACGATCCTACCTACTAAATTAAAAAAATTAACAATTGAGTTTTATTTATATTAAAAAAATGTTATAATTTGTTAGTTAATTTGATTCTGGGTCAAAGATTAATATATATTTTTCTTTTATTAAAATTAAAAATAATATTAAATAAATAAAATAAAAATAAAAAATATATTTTAAAATTTTAAATTATATTAATAAAATTAATTTTTAATTCAGATATAATAATTTAATACATAAATTACAAACTCTATTAACTCCCAAAATAAAAAAAATAAAAAATTAATTTTTGTTATCATTAATTTTTATTAATCTAATGATTTAAAATAATAATATAATACTTTTAAAATAATAATTTATCTTAATTATTAGATTATAAAATAAATAAATAAATATATGGAACTTATTTTATATTTATTTTTAGAATAATTTATATATATATATATATATTAATAAACTAATATTATTTTATTTTTATTTAAAAAATAATTATTATTTAATAAAATAAATTGACTTATAAAATTTTTAGTTAATATATTCTAAATCAATTTAATTAATGACTTATACGAACTTGATTAATCTAAAATAAATTAATTTAATTTGATTTAATTTATAATTTTTGTGACTAACTTATTTTTCGAATATCTCATGTTAATTCATCTAAATAAGTTTATTTTGACATGCTGGATACTAATTATGATATTAAATTATTAACAGATTATTCTTTTATAATTTTTTAAGAGAAAAACATTAAGAATTAATATCCTATTATTTTTCACAATTTTAAAAATAGTTATTGAAAAATAAAATAAAAAATATATAGTAAAATCAATATTTTAAGTTATAAAACATTTTAAGTATGATGATTAAAACTTGAGTTAGGCCTAACGGAAGTTGACTGTGCATGATAACTACTAGAAGAAAATTAAGATAAGTCATAATTCATTTGAAAGTATTTTTCTGAAAAAGAATGTACATGATAATGGAACTAATTAGAAGATTTTTTTGCAAAGCTTGTTTGAATTCACAAACATAATCTATGACTCCTGGTCCTGAGGGTGCTTACTTAACTAGTTTTAATAAAATTTATAATTAAAAAAACTAACGTAATGGTTTCTTACTAGTTGAGGGTATGGAAGAGGATCATTGTCTATAGAGCCTTGTTCTTACATATTAAAAAGGTTAATTTTAATTTTTAATCTATAACTACTTAGTAACAAAAGTGTAACGGCGAAGCTTTACAATGCTAATTGATATAAATTTTCATATGGTAAAATTGTATTGAACAAATGGTTAATTTAGTTATATATTCTAAATATCACATTCATGAATCATGGATGACATTACTGATCATTTGGTCTTTCCTTCTTTTTTAACTTGGTGAGCTTCTAAAGCCATATTTATTTTGTTTTTGAAGATCACTAAAATAACAATTTGATTATGATGTTAAGAAAATTAAACATTGATCACACATTTGTGGAAATTAAGCAGTTTGAATAATTAAAATTCATAACTACCATAATTGCAAGATTTTTAGGTCAGAAAAATATAATTCTATCAAGTTTCTTGGATCTCGAACTGGGGAATTGAACGATTACAAAGCAATGGTTATTAAATTTTATGTTATTTTACTTGAGGAGTTGAAAATAATTACGTAAAAATCCAAGATATTTTCATTTTCTTGTCCAAGATTTTCTCTCAACCACACTCTTGGGGCTCTCTGCCCTATCTATCTTTACCTTCATTTCCAAATCCAAGTTCATGTCCCTTTCAATCATGGCATGCTATAACATCAGACCTGCCACAAAAGGAACTAATATGGTCCACTAATGCAAATCATTATGTGCAAAACTAGGATGAACTCCAACATGTTGGGCAATGAACTTGATTTGACATCATAGATCAAGTTAGGAAGACGAAACAAGTCATTTTGTTATATAATCTGAGGCTAAGTTCTATCGAAGTGCAAGAAGCAAAACAATGAAATATTCTTTTTTTCCTACAGCAATTCATCTTAAATACATTAAAAGCAGCAGCTGGCATGTACATTGAGGGGGGCACTAGAAGAAAATTCCCTTGTGAGAGACTTACATTTGATGAGGCACCTGTTATCTCCCCTATGAAACAAAATTTGGCAACAAAGACGGAGCAATGCATATGAACAGAGAAAAAAAATCTACTTTCCTAGTTTAAGATCTGTCTGTTCCATGCTCCGAGGTTAAAATAAGTCTACGTTCATCATCATCATCCCTTTGCATTACCTGAGAAGGTGGACTTCTTCTAGAGCTTTGTGCCGGATGATGTTCAGGATCGTACTTCTGAGAAGCTAGGTAATTTAGAGCTGTAACAACATCAACTATAACAGGTCGCATATTAGGCTGCTCTTGAACACACATTGCAGCAATGGCAAGAGCTTGGTATAAGCCTCTCACGGGATATCGACCTTCAAGTAAAGGGTCAACCATCTGGGGAAATTTTTTCCTATCTCTGAACAAGGGTCTTGCCTGAAAAAAATTCCCATTGTATACCATGTTAATAATATGAATTTTGCCAATTCAGGTGATTTATCAAGTAGACAATAAATAGGCAATCTTCATCATTACTCAGACTTTTACTCTTAATTTTAATATACTCAATAAAAAAAAAAAATGTGATCTGTTCAGCTTAAAGGAAATATTAGAAGATTTGTGATTATGTTTCATAGATTGAGGAGATTAACTGAGATTCTTGTGTACAAGGCAATAACTACTCTGAATAAAGACATTAGTGAAGAACAAAAATGGAAAAGCTAATGGTAACTATGCACTACAACTATCTTTTTGGACCAAAATAGAGCTTCCCAGTCACTTATAGTTCCAGTCCAGTAAGAACACAAGAATATGCAATAGCAATTCATTAAGTGTGAAATATAAGTAGCCCACTTAACGTAAATGAGGATAGAAAATCAGTAATGTATTATTTTGTGTAGCCATACACCACCACCAAGCATCGCGCTCAATGTGGTAGAACTATATCAAAATAAAATAGGCTGGTCAATCCCAATTTCAATACTTTAACAAGGTGCCAACATGAATGCAAATTCACCACTCTTCCAAAGATAATAAAATGCCAAAAGATGTCAAACTTGAGAGTTTATAGAAACTTGACTTGTAAACTTGTATGAGTTTTGCTTAATATAAAAATAATATTAAAAGTGCATGAAAAATAGTACTTATAATAAAAAATAATTCAACATATTATCTCCCTAATAAAAAATAGCAGATTACAAAAATAGAGTAACAAAATTTCACAACACATTGTGGTTGAAAATATAAACCAAATACCGTGGTTCAAAAGAAGAAAACCATAACTGCTAGGGTATGAAAAACAACAGATATGTTGAAAGTGAAATATATTCTTTGTATGACACATATGAGTAACATGTTGGCATTACAATTAGTAGAAAAAAAACATAAGATTAAGCATCTCACATTGAAATTTTAACCAGACTTTATAAAACCAAGAAGGCAAAGAATGAAGGGCTTGCTACCAAAAATAAAAACCAAAACAAAGTTTATAACTTAGAAGTGCACGCCAGTACAGAGAAAAAAGGAATAAAGGGAGGGTTTATGGAGGCCTTGCTCATTGCTTGCTGTTAAATCAACTTGCAGCTCATACTTGCTGCCCAGCTGTTGTTGAACAAAGATGCAAGACAGAGAAAGCGATGATTGTAACAGAAGATTGAAGCCACAGAACAAAGATAAAACACAAAAGAATCGAGATTATTCAACACAGAGGATGGAGTCCGAGAACAAAGATGGAAATGGCAAGATGAATATCATAAACAAATAAGAAAATCATGTGTTGGGTGCATTAACGAAGATGGGTGTGGTGAAATTTGCCTCTACTAGTGCCATAATGTGTTAATTTCAGATGTGCCTAAGAACAACCCAAATGAATGTCGTCTGGGTTAGTTGTTTTGGCAACAAATAGAATTACCAACTCACCCATGCAATTGCGAGGCCGGACGAGTTAGCTGAGTATACCCAAGCTCACCAAGAAACATTCGCATGCGAGAGTTGAACATATTGATGGCCGCAAACTCATGAACTTGTCCACTTCTACAAGTGAACTCATGATTTTAACAACCATGAATGTGCCACAGAAATTTAAAGTAATACAAACTAGTCAAGGCTTAAAAGTAACACCACCTGTTTATAACTAATTACACTGGTCTACATGAGTAAATCAACAAACAATAGTGGATTCCCAGTAAAGAATAAAACAGGTAAAGAGTAGTGACATACCCATGCAACTAGATTTTGTTCTTTGGCAGGTTTCATATGGTCAATAGCCTTCCGGCCTGTAATAAGCTCCAAAAGAACAACCCCAAAGCTGTAAATATCTGACTTAAATGTCAACTGACCCGTCATTGCATAATCTGGGGCACAATACCCATATGTACCCATAACCCTTGTTGAAACATGGGTCTTATCACCACTTGGGCCTACTTTTGCCAAGCCAAAATCTGACAACTTAGGATGATATCCCTCTCCTAACAAAATGTTAGAGCATTTCAAGTCCCGATATATGACAGGAGGCTTCATTTTATCATGCAGATACTCCAAACCCCTAGCTGCACCAGCTGCTATTTTCATTCTAGTGTTCCAATCCAGTGCTTTACTCCCAGTCCGAAGATCTATGATATATGGAAGAAGAAATGAGATGAGCGAGCAGTAACGAATGATGCTGAAATTATATGGAAAATTTGAGATGAAAGAATGAGAGCGTACCAAGCAAATGATTCTCCAAAGACCCCAATGGCATGAATTCATAAACTAATAGCCTCTGCTCTCCCTCAGCACAAAATCCAATCAACTTGACAAGATTAGGGTGGTCTGCCAAACTCAGTGTCAACACTTCAACAGCAAATTCCCGAATCCCTTGAAGTCCATTAGGGTCAAGTTGCTTTATTGCTACAACCTACACAACCACTATCAAATCTTAGTTTCACCACAAATCAAAAGTAACAATTAACATGCAAACTAACATGACGCCATACACATCCTTCAGTGGATAAATGCACAACATATTGATCAGAGCGGGATCAGGTTGGGTGCATCAATAATTTCAATTTTTGTTTTTCTAACACACCTAAGTGACCCCATACACTTCATTAACAAATAAATGTACAACACATCGACCAGAGTAGGATCAGATTCAACGCATCCACCTTTTCAGGGAATTCTTCTTATTTTTAACAAACCTGGTTTATTCTATCCAAGTGTCCCTTATAAACCTTGCCAAAGCCTCCTTCACCCAAAAAGCAATCTGCCGTAAAATTTCCCGTCGCAGCTTCAAGTTCATTAAAACTGAATGACTGCGCCCGATTGCCATTATCTTTCCCATCCTGGGAAACCTCCTCTTTCAAATTTAAATTCTTCACGTCCAGAGCAAGTTGATCACCTTTAGAACCATCTTCCTTTTTCCCATTCACTTTGAAATCAACTTTGACGCTTTCTATAACATACAAAATGCACATAAGCCCAAGGTGAACGACAACAAACAAAATCACACAAGAAATAAATTTAATCCGGGGACCAAAACAACTACGCAAAAGGACAAACACAACTTTGTTTGTGGATCTAATAACTCCAATCTCGTAGCCAACCAACACAAACAACAAATTGAGCATGGTTAATTTTAATTTTAAGCCACCAAAAATAGAGCATCAGTATTCAAAGGCTTACATCATCAAAAATTGCCAGAAGAGACATTAAAGCCAAATACCGAAACTAATTACAATATTGAAACCAAAACAAACAATCAAAATTCCTTTTTTTTTTTTTTTTTGCTTTTGCATATGCCTGATGGTAATTCCTGAAGAATAAAAAGAAACGAAAAACTCTTCCAAAACGGAAACAGAAGCATTCGATGACCCCACAGCCAAAAAAATACGAACTTTGAATAGCTTATGACACACCCACCACAGAATCTTCACATTAAAACGAAAGCCACTAAGAAAACACAGTAATCGGCACGATCAGACGAAATGGGTTACAAAACAATAGGAGTGTGTTCGTGTGTAACAGTGAAATGCATTATTAAAGTAAAAAGAATAAAAATTTACCTGTGGCCGTGAAATTGGAGGGTTTCTGGTCGAAGTTATGGCCATAGTCTTCAGTATCCGAATTGGTGCTTGATTTCCCAGCGCAACAAAAGCAACCCATGTTCTTTCTCTGACCAAGCTCCACCAAGAAAACAGAGCCCTGAACAGAGACCCCCTCAAGGAGAAGAAACAGAAGAAAATAAAAATAGAATCTAAAAAAAAAAAAATTAAAGAGTAACACAAACTGTGTTAGAGAGAGAGCAAGAGAAAGCGAGAGAGGCCTTTCTGATGTTTTGGGTATTGTGGGTGCTTTAATATATTCTTGGTCAATATGAGGTGGAAATTAATTGTGAACAAATTTTCCAGTCACCAACAAGCCACACTAAGGACAAAGGAACCAAGGGGTGTTTCTGTCAATTCGTCCGCACGGTAAGCCTTAAGGGAATGTTATTACCTCCGTTTCATTCATATCTGATGCGCACTTGTCCCGGCGCAGGGACTCTTTCGGCATTTCATCTCCTTCCAATGTTTACTCCCTTTCTTTTGGATTTGTTTTTTTATGATATTTATGTAGAGAACATTGATTTGAGGCATTAAGCGTGATATTTGAAGAGTTGACTGAAAATTCTTTTTTAATTAAGTGAAAAATCAAGACAAACATTTAATATTATATATATAATCCATTAAATATCTGAAATAAAAAACCACACTCATACCGTGTTGAATTTTTTCTTTGGAAACTGCATTTATCTATTTAACTGAAAACATTTGTATTCAAATCAGATAAAATTATTGTAAATGATAAAATTAAAATATTCAACTGCAATAAAATATGTATACTTTTCTGATTTGACAAATTACAGTCTGAATTTTAATTACGTTACATTCTTTAACCAAAGAGTTACTACCTTCCTTAAGTTCATAGAAAGAAAGGGGGAAAAGGTCACCTACAAACTTATTAATGTTATTTCTTACCTTTAAAGTTAATTTAAAAAAAAAAAACACATTTCGGTTTTAATATTTTCCTTTTTTTAGAAATGTTGTATACATATTTAAAATAAATGTTAACAAAAGCATTATTTTCAATTTTAATTTGGTCATTACACAGTCATACTACTAAATAGACTAAATTTAATTTTTTAAATAAAAAATAATCATATATACTTAGTGGTTATTTTATTCTACATCACTTTAAAAGTTTACAGACTCATTATATAAATATCTTATTATTATTATTACTATTAAATGTATTCAAGAGTAAAAAAAGATATTTAAATTATCAACAAATATGTTACACTTAAAGCATCAGTTAATTTAAGTAAAAAATATTAATACAGAAACTTAAAATATGTTATCTATTAAATTCATGTAATTTTTAAAATGTTAATATTATTATACATTCACTAGTTTATTTTACAGACTTAAATTTGTGTGGCTATATCTAAACTAAAGAATTATTATTACTCATCATATTTAAATAGTGCTTTTAACTTATTTAAAACGCTTTATTGTTAAGAACGTTTTGTCTTGAACTGTGAATATTAGGTGGCAATGGATTCACTGTATGGTGCGAGCTGGTTCGCAACATGTGTGTGTGTGTGTCGTTTGATGAGCCCGACGGTGGCAAATAAATCACACTGTTTTGTTTCAACGTTCACAAAACGCTTTGACCAAAACCCTGTCTTGTTTCTCTCCAAAAATATTTATTCAGTTTCAAAAATAAATTAACGTGAAAGGTCAACCTCTCGAACAACGCGATGGGGCCCGCACGGTGACGTCATCAACTGGGACCCACTTGCTTACGCGTACCCACTACTAACATGGCTTCGAATTTTCGTTCCAAACTGTCCCGAGAAATAATAAAGAAAGCAAAGTTTCCGTTTCGATGGTGATCCACGCGTTTGTATACGCCGCCGTAACGGAACTGTAACTCGTGACGGTGACGGCGAGTCAACCAATCAGCGAAGGGTTGCATGTGGCGTTGGCCGCACTGGATAGTTACTCTCTTGCGTGATTGTTTACTGTGGGGGTGATAGTAGGTGAAGTATGCGATGGTAGATATCAGCATTCTTAATTTGACTTTGTTGTCTTTTTCAATGCATTTTGGTCTTAAAAGTTAATATATTTTAAAAAAGGTCCAAACCATGCATCAAATTGTTTATTTTTAATCTAAATAAATAAAGAAAAATAATTTGAAGTGTTAGCCTCAAATGTTTCAAACTAGGACGGGAGGAATATTCGACCATTTTTTTTTTATTTGTGCCATGTCAAAGATATTATTAGCTGAGATTTCAAATTTTAATTATGTGTTTAAAGAATATGCAAAGGTGAATTAAAAGGCATACCAATGGAATGTAGAATCTGTGTACAGTGCTGGAGTTGAAACAATGAATCTGTTTAGAAATCTAACAAGAAGCATCATATTAACTATTGGAAGTTAAAATTGTAAAAGCTAATTGGAGATAGAAATGGAAACGAGATTGAATTATAAACCTAATTGGCGAAATTGAAATTCAAATTGGACCTGCAACGTATGAACAATATAATTTCTCAATTTTTCACAGAATTGAATTGGAAATTCAAATACAAAACCGTGTCGAATAATGCAATGGTAATTGAAAACTAAAATTGAAACAATTAATTACAAATAAGAATATAAAGATTTATAAAAATAGTTATGGACTCCAAATAACACAGTCCTTGTATCATATTGAAGTTCACAAAATAAAAAATCCAATGAAGAAAAATTTAACTAAAACAGACATTTGTAGAAAAAAATATAAACAAAGATTAATGTTGGAAAATACAAAAAATACAGTAAAAAAATAAAATAAAAATGTATTTAAAAAAAAAGCTTATTTATTACAAAAGATACAAATCTATGTCAAATATAAAAATTAAGGAAAGAATAATTACTTAGAAAATATAATAAAACTATAAATGTGAAAACAAAATATAAGTTTTTAATCAGGATTTGATATAAAACACCAATGAGATGAGTCCAATTTATATAAGAGATTAACACAACTCTCAACCTAAAATCTTAAGGCATTAGATTATAGATATTTCTTCATTACATATTACTTAATTTTCTCATTCTTACACAATGTGAAACTTAGGCTCACTTAGATTATCCAATAATCTCTCTCAAGTATGAGTCACCACATTGGGACATCCCCTCCAGCTCACTAGCAACTCTTCTATATATCGTCGTTCATCATAATGTGACATACTTACTTGACTCACTGTTAGGAAGACTTTTGATACAAGATCACTCTCAAACTACGGTCATCACACAACATTGGCTCTGATATCACTCTTGGATCTTTTGATGATGATTCACTAAAGAGAGACAATACTAATGAGACTTAGACTCACATTACGCAACAAAATCTTTATTATAGCAAGTTTCTCCTTGTCCTTCTTTTGGGGTAGGTTACATGTGGGGTTTGGATGTTGCATGTACCCTATAATTCCTTGCATGCGTCCAATCTTAGGCAAAATAAACCTTGACTAGTTTAAGATTATAGTGGTGTGATTGATTTGTTAAATTGAGTCTTTTATAAGCAGATTTGAAGATCATGTGATCTTTACATTTGAGATAAGGGAAATTATTTTTAAAGTTATTTAGTACCCTAAAGTAAATGGTGATTGTGAAGATGAATTGGTTGCTGAATTGAATTATGTAGTTTGATTGTGATGATTGCAATTGTGAATGTAAGTGGTAGAATGTATAAAATGTTAAGATAAAAACAACTAGATTAGTATAAGTTTGTCATGCTTTAGAAGGAAAATTCTCTTAGAAATGTATTTGATGGCTCTAATTCATGCATTATACATTTTACAAACCTTTTGTTTCTTACATAATTCGTTCAAATGATATATTGTCATTCAAGTAAAAATGCAACATAGAGTGAGAACTTCTCTTATGAGTCTTTTCACACAAGAGACTTTGTAAATGAGTGATGAACACCTTTTATTAATAATTTTATTAAACTATTTTATATATATAATATATTTCTTTAATTCGTTATTAATATTTAATATAATTTTTGTAAAAAGAAAATAAATATCTCTGAATTTAATTTATTACTTAATTATAAAGTTTAACTATAATTATTTAATTACTTATGCTGAAATGATAAATTTAATAAATGATAAAAGCTAAAATGGAAGGAAACCGCTTAGCATTAAAAGATCCGCTCAGCGAAGTTTTAGATATTTTTTGAAAGAAAAATTTTCAAATAAATTTGTAATAATTTGTTGTGAAATATGTTTTATAGAAAAAATTATAACTATTTTGTATGAAAAAAAATTTTAGCATCAAAATGACATGAAATTAACTATTTTTATTTTACTTGATATACGGTCGTTTATTGATTTCAACTACAATAGTGTTATATACATAAATAAATGATGTTTTAAGGATAATTTCGGGATAATGAGAGAGGTGAAGTGAGTGTTTTATAATATTTGATTTTGAACATTTTATTTAGGATGTATATTTGAATAATTACGTGGATGATTTTTTTTTAATATTTAAACATGTAATTAATGTAAATATTAAAAATATTTATATTTTTAATTAAATATATGTTATAAACTAATTATTACGAGATTACATCACATTCGTGATGAAAATTGAAAACATATATAAGATATTAAAATACTGTAGTTTTATTGTAACATACTTTGTGACTCTAATGTTGTATTTGTTCAATTCATTTACTATTTACATGTATGGAAGAGCAACGATGATACATGTTTGTTTCAAGCAATTTGATAATATTTGTAGGTACTGATTTGAGTGAGTGTGATGAAAGTGTCTTCACTTAAACGAAGAGATTAGTTGAGAAACACAATTTATCTAATGTGTATTTACGTTTTTTCTATCATCTCCATCTCCACATAAAACAACTGTGCATGACATCTTGAAAAATTTTGCATGTAAGGAATCAGTGTAGAGATTTTTGCTCATCCACATGCATGCAGTTACAACTATAGTGGACATTCGTCCTATGTCATCACGACTATGATCATGGTAGTTGGAAGTTGGACGCCATTAAATACTCGTGAGAATAGACTTTTATTCTGTGTGTTTAAGTTGTGAGGTGTATGTCATAGTCGATACATTACTCGTTCACATTGAGGTTGGATGTCAATGATTGTGATATGATTATGTGTGTCATATGTTAATGGGTGGGAATGGAGGAAATAATGATTGTGGGTGATAATGGTTGCAAAGAATAAATTATATGTTAGTTGATGATAATCAATTATAATTCGTCTTGAATACATGAATTGATTTCCGTCCCTATTAGGTTTTATTCTCTCAATAACTTGAATCAATTCTTGATAAATGAGAATTGATTCTCGCATAATGCAAAATCGACTCTTGAAGTTTTAGATAACCAATTCTGAGTGCCTATATAATCAATTCCTTACTAGATAAATTTTACAAAAAATTATTTTTATTCATATATAATCCTTAAAAAAAAATCGATTCTCCAT